AAGAGGCTGTCAGATCCCCTGGAACTGGAGTTACAGACAGTTGTTAGCTGCCATGTGGGTGCTGGAATTCGAACCCAGGTCTTCTGCAAGAACAGCCAGTGTTCTTAACTGCTCAGCCATCTCTCCAGCCCACTTTCTTTAACCTTAATCATTATGATTTAAATGAAATTTTAAGATCCAGGCATTGGAAAATGAGTTAGAAATAATTCATTAGCACTGGGTGTGCAGAGGCAGGGGGATCTCTGAGTTCAAGACCAGCTTGGTCTAGAGTTTCAGGCCAGATGGGGCTATAGAGAGACCCTGTCTCAAAAAGACCAAGAAAAAAAAGAAATTTTTTAGCCCACCCAGAAACATTGAATCAGTTTTGAAAAAAGGCAGAAGTTTCTGTGATTTAAAAAAAAAAAAAAAAGCTTGTGGTGGTACATGCCTTTAACCCAGCACTTGGGAGGCAGAGGCAGGCAGATCTTTGGGAATTCAAGGCCAGCCTGTTCTACATACTGAGTTCTAGGCCAGCTGGGGCTACAAGGGAGGTCCTGTTTCAAAAAGACCAAAATAAATAAACAAACATACATTTCTTGGTAAACCAGGCTTGGTGGCACACACCTTTAGTTCCAGTACTGGGGAGGCAGAGGCAGGCGGATCTTTGTGAGATCATGACCAACTGGGGCTACAGGAAGACCCTGTCTCAAGAAACAAAACAAAAATTCTTGGTGTACCCTCTTATCCTGTTCCTCATGGATGGCAGTATTTTAGAATTGAGGCCCTGTCTTTAACTCTTAGAGAATGTGTGCTTACTTAAGGCTTCATATTTGTTGTATTCTTAATCTCACTTCATTTTACTTTGTTTTCTCCCTCAGGTTTTTCGTTGGAATATACGTTGCACATTTATGGCGATTCTGAGCGTGAGGGCAGACTTCTGCCAGGCTCAGCACAGCGTTTTCGCTGACAAGTGAGCTTGGGGTTCTATGTGCCATAATTAACATTGCCTTGAAGACTCTGGACACCGAGACGAGACTGGCCTCAGAAGCAGTTGGCTATTTTTTTTTTTTTTTTTAATTTTTATTGCAAGCATACTTCTTTTAACGACTCCAGTAAAATTAAGCATCAAGTAAACGAAAGTGGAAAACAACCTACACTTTCAACTTTTCTCACTAGTGCCTAAATGTAGTAAAGGCTGCTTAAAATTTGTATGTAGTTGGATTTTTTGGAGGCTGAAGGTATCCATCTGCAGACATTGAGGCCCAGGTTGAATTTGATTCAAGTGGATTCTAAACGCTTCTGCCTATGTTGAAGAGAGAAGCTTTATAAGGAGCAAACAAGTTGAATAGAGAATAGTGATCAATAATAGGCATTTTAGTGGTCTTTTTAATGTTTTCTGCTGTGAAGCATTTCAAGATTTATTGATTTTTTTTTCCCCTCCATTTTCCCTACCACACTCACACACACGCTCACACTTTTTATTTGCCATAATGAACCGACCAGCCCCTGTGGAGATCTCTTATGAGAACATGCGTTTTCTGATAACTCACAACCCCACCAATGCTACTCTCAACAAGTTCACAGAGGTAAGAGTGCAGCAGAGTCTGCTTTTTGGATTGATTTATAACTAAGACCTCATTAAAAACTTAGTATTTCTGTAATCAAAGTATGGATGGATGTTTATTCTATCCTAGTTTAAATTGGTTTGAATTTGTTGTGATAGATTTAAAAAAAAAATGTATACGGAATTTTTGGAAACAATAGAGATCATCTAGTTCTTTTTTTTTTCTTGTGTTCTTTCTACATTTATTAGCAGTTCTTTTGTCATATTTTCAATAAAATTTACATGTATTGAAAACAGTATATACTCAGCATTGCAGTAAGCAACGAGCAGTTTCTAAGGGCATAGGTATAACTGTTCTACAAGATATAGGTACCCATATCATTTTCCTCTTACAGTTAATTATACTTAGGTTCAAAGCCACTTAATAGTTTAATGGCATGTTGTATATGGCAGAACTAGCACTCAAATCTCTCAAACTAAAACTCATGTTAGAGGGCTGGCAAGATGGCTTAGTGTGGGTAAAGGCACCTGCTCTCAAGCTTGACACCTGAGTTCTATCTCGGGCCCACATGGCCGGAGGACTGACTCCTGCAGGTTGTTCTCTGACCCCCACACACATGCTAGGGTACATGGGTGCCACTTCTTCCCCCCATGCACACAAATCAATAAAGATGTAAAAACAAAACAGCTCATTTTCTGCTTCAAATGTAGAACATGTTTTTACCACTCTTGATGAAAAGCTAGCCCATACTACTTAGTCATCATAATTACCAGAGTTCAGAAACTTGGGGAAAGGAACCTTGTTACAGGTAGTGTAGGTAGTAGTATGTGGCTCTTCTTTTTTTCCCCCTGTTGGTAGTGGACAAACTCAACTCTTTGGCAAATATTTGAATGTAAACTTTTTAATCATTTTTAGGTTATATCATCAAAATGTGATTTCTGTTGATGTATTTATGGAGTATACACAGCTGGATGGTCTCCAAGGAATTCTCATTTTAGGAATGGCAAAGCTGAGGCCAAACAGATTTTATCATAAAAAGTATAACAACTTTTTGATAAATGATAACTGAAGTTTATTTTAAGATTATTTTTTATTTTCATTTCTACTTTTGTGGTAGTAGGGATTTAACCCAGGGTCTTAATGCATGGTAGGCAAACACACTACCACTGAACTATATATATCCCTTGTTGTACTTTTTATTTTGAAGCAGTCTCACTATGTTGCTCCAGGCTGGCCTTGATTTCATTTTATGTATCAGGCAGGCCTTGAACATGTGATCCTTTTGTCTTGGCCTCCCATGTAGCAGAGATTATGGATCTGTGCCACTAGGTACCAGCTAAAACTCATTAAATTTAAAAAATTTTAATTTTATTTTTTTGAGACTGGGTCTCCCTGTAGCCCCAGCTGGCATGGAACTCGCTCTGTAGACCAGGTTAGCCTCTTTCTTGAGATCCACTTGCCTCTGCTAGCACTAAAGGTGCGTACCACCAGCCATTTAAATTCTTAACTGGGAGCTGGTGGGATGGTAGAGTAAATAAAGGCATTCAGTGTCAAATCTGATGACCTCAGTTTGATCCCTAGAGTACATGTGGAAGGAGAGAACTGACTCTTGAAAAGTTGTCCTCTGACTTTGATATGTGTACCATAGCATGAGAGAGAGAGAGAGAGAAAGAGAGAGAGAGGAACTCCAGTTCCAAGGGATCCGATGATGGCTCTCTTCTGACCTCCATGGGCATTGCATGATACAGGTGCACTTACACAATGCAGGCAATACACTCATACACATAAAATAAATAAGTAAATAAATATCTTAAAAATTCATTAGCTCAACCTCCTTAGTGTCATTTTCATAGTTGTCATAGTATTTGCTTTATGAATTTGTCATATCTCCTTTAACCATCCTTCATTTTTGGACCATTAGTAAGTATTATTTCTACCCTTTTACCATTCTGTTCAGTCTATGGTAAAGATGCCGCATAAGCAGTCCTTTATGTCTTTAATTACCTCCTTTTGATACAGGTCCAGAAATTGAATTTCTAGCTCAAAGAATATGTGAATTTTAAAGTTTTTGTGTTAATGCTACAAAATTGCCCTTTAGAAAGAAGAATCTTTCAGGAGGAATGTATTTGTATCTACTGCATGTTACTACAATGAGATGAGTTTTGATTTTTGCCTAAGAAATGTCATTGTTTCAATTTAGAATAGTAAAGCTTTGGGTTTCAGATTCCAAATGCAAGTCCCTTAATAACTATTTTTCTTTAAGGAACTTAAGAAGTATGGAGTGACAACTTTGGTTCGAGTTTGTGATGCTACATACGATAAAGCTCCAGTTGAAAAAGAAGGAATCCACGTTCTAGTGAGTGTGTAGTGTTTTTAAGGGTTTGTTTTGTTTGTTGTTGTTGTGAGAGACCCTGACTCAAAAATCAAGATGAATGGTGGCTAAGTAGGTGGTGTTCTGGGTTTCTGCATACCTGCACTCATGTACACATATAACACAAAGAAAATGGAAATTGTCATTTTCATATTTTAGAAATTAATTCAACATCTAGCTTTTGTTTGTAGGATACTAATTTGAATATAATAATTTCCATTCAACATTCTTCAAATATGGAAATACCTATTGCTGTGTTGTAAATAGTAAGTTAATGACTTAATGTTTAATGAATAATTTATAGAAGACAAAAAGTTTAGGGAAAAAGATGAAGGGGATTGGAAAAGGCATCTTGCTCCAGAGTGATCAGCTTAGTTTCTAACACATGGGTAAGTTTCTGAAGAGCTCTGGTGGGTTTAGATTTCTACCATAGTTCAGTTTAAATACTAAGTATACTAAATATACTGTTTCCTTACAGAAAACAAGAGACTTGAATTAGTTAAAAATCTTTTCCCCTAAATAGTTGTCTGACTCACAGGAGCAGCTTTTAGGAGCATGTAATGAAATGATCTTACAGTCTTAAATGTTTTTGTGAAGGCAGTGTCGTAGGAGAACTGGAAAGTTAACATAATTAGGTAGGAAGAAAGTAATAAGGGAGATAGACAGTTCTGTGATCTGTGTTAAGTTGGCTAGCGGCTGGGATGGCAGTTGATGCCAGTAGATTTTCTTGTTGGTAAGGTGGTCACCTCATGTCTGTGATCCATAGTTTCCTCACTTTTGCTGTAGTAAAAACATGAAAACTAAACACCCCAACATGGTGGTTTTTAAAAAAATATTTCTAGGGGTTGGAGAGATGGTTCAGCGGTTAAGAACACCGACTGTTCTTGCAGAAGACCTGGGTTCGAATCCCAGCACCCACATGGCAGCTTACAACTATCCGTAACTCCAGTTCCAGGGGATCTGACAGCCTCTTCTGTCTACAGCCTCTTCTGTCTTCTGTGGGCATTGTGCAACACGGGTGCACTTACCTACAGGCAGGCAATATACACATACACATAAAATAAAAATAATAAAATATTTAAAGAAATGATTTCTAGTTGGCATTATAGTAATTGGTTTGTATTCATATCTTTTTCTTTTTTGAGACAGGATCTTACTTACTATACTTTGTAGAACAAGCTATGTAGAACAGGCTGGCCTGGTTCTGCCTCCCTAGTGCTGGAACTAAAGGCGAGTGCTACCATGTCCAGCCACAAGTTCATTAGAAAAAACTGTGTATGTACTGTTAGTGTGGTGTGTGCACATATGCATGTGGATACATGTGTCCATGATTATACCTGATTATAGAGGCCAGAGGTTGATGTCTCTGATTTCTGTCCTTTATGCTTTTTTTTTTTTAAAACTTTTTGAGACAGGGTCTCTGTAGCTCCAGCTGGCCTGGAACTCACTATGTAGACCTGGCTGGCCTTGAACTCGGAGATCCACCTGCCTCTGCCTCCTGAGTTCTAGCGGCTGGGATGGCAGTTGATGAGTACCACCATGCCCAACGAATATTTTATTATTTTTATTTTATGTGTATGAGTATATTGCCTGTATTTAAGTGCACCTGTGTCTTGCAGTGTCTGAGGAGGTCAGAAAAAGGCGTTGGATCCCTTGGAACTGGAGTTACAGAGAGCTGTTAGCCACCGTGTGGGTGCTGGGAACTGACCCTGGCTCCTCTGCAAGAGCAGCCAGTGCTCTTAACCACTGAGCCATCTGTCCAGCCCCAGTTTTATTTTTTTAGACAAAGTCATGGATTCAAGGCAGGCTTCATACTCCCTGTGTAGTTGAAGGTGACCTTGAACTGATTCTTCTGCCTATACCTCCTCAGTGCCTCTGCCTCCTGATTGCTAGGGTTAAAGGGGTGCATGACTATGCCTAGCTCTTTTCCTCTTCTCTTTTTGTGACAGAGTCTCCCTGTAGCCATAGCTTGCTGGAATTCTCTATGTAGAGCAGGCTGACCTTGATTACAGAGATCTGCTTGCCTCTGCTTCCTGAGTGCTGGGATTAAAGGCATGTGCCACCACACTTGGCTTTATTTTTTAAATTTTTTTTCTTTTATTACCGAGAGAGAGAGAGAGAGAGAGAGAGAGAGAGAGAGAGAGAGAGAAAGAGAGAGAGAGAGAGAGAGAGAGAGAGAGTATACATGTTCCATGGCATGTGTGTAGAGGTCCAAGGACAACCGTGTGAAGTCAGTTCTCTCCTTCAATTTGCAAGTGGGTTTCAGGGATCCAACGCAAATTACCAGGCTTTGGTGGCAAGCACCTTTACTCATGACCCAACCCTAGGTTAGTTTAATTTTAAATTTTTTTCTTTTTTTGATAAAGGGTCTCACTGGATAGCCCAGGCTTGCCTCGAACTATCAGAAATCTGTCCACCTCTGCCTCCCAAGTGCTGGAATTAAGGATGTGTACATCCTATATCTGGCAGAGTCCTGTGTTTTTTGTTTTGTTCTTAAGGAAAAAAAATTAAAATTCTATACTATACATTGTAGTGCTTGTCCATCACCCTAGCACTTGGGAAGCTAAGGCAGGAGGATTATAGGCTGAAGACCAGATTGGGTCACTATATAGTTACTATGTAGCCCCAACCTGGCCTTTATAGTGAAATCCTGTTTCAAAAAACAGAAAGATTCAAATTCTGATTCTGAATTTAAGCTGAATACAAGTAAATTTTTTCCCTATTGTGAGTGAATATGTTCCTTGGTGGTGTATGAGAAACCTTGCTTTGATAATATGGCAGGATAAGAAGATGGATGGCCGTTAGAGTCAGTAACATTGGAAACACATTCATGAGGTAGGAGTGAGCTAAAGAACCTGAATTAGTTTGTGGAAGATAATGTTAGACCTAGGGTTTATTCCAGCCCCTTAAATTTAGCTTTTTGTTTTCTTCTAAATAACTGTGATCAGATAAAATTAAAGCTCTAACTTAAGCTTGAAAAAAATAAGAGCATTACCTTTTCCTACACAGATGGAGTTAATTTCCATTATCCCAGTAAAGAGGTTTTTAGAAAGTTTCACTGTAAGAGGATGTCCCTCAAATGAGACCTTTCGGTTATTTAAATGCTCTTGGAAATCAAAGGCACATTGGAATAGGCTAATGGTGGTTCAGCAGTGTTCACTGAGATTCTGATATTTCTAAGTTACTAATGCTGCTTTAAAATAGACTGCTGGTGTTTTGGCTTATGCTTGCAATTCTCATAGTTGGGAGGCTGAAGCATAGAGTGTCGCATGCCTTCAATCCCAGCATGCAGGAGACAGAGGCAGGCAGATCTCTAGATTGAAGCCAGCCTAGGATGGTCTACGTAGCGAGTTCTAGGCTAGCAGGGGTTACGTCTCCCAATTTCCTCTCAATAAAAAAGAAAAAGAGCCGGGCATAGTGGCACTCAGGAGGCAGATCTCTTTGAGTTCAAGGCCAGCCTGGTCTACATTGTGAGTTCCAGGACAGCTGGGGCTACAGGGAGACTCTGTCTCAAAAAGACCGAAAAAAAAAAAAAAAAAAAAGCTTCGGGGGCTGGAGAGATGGCTCAGTGGTTAAGAACACTGTTGTTGCAGAGGACATGGGTTCGAATCCCAGCACCCACATGGCAGCTAACACTGTCCGTGACTCCAGTCCCAGGGGATCCAATGGCCTCTTCTGACCTCCACAGGCATTGCATGACATGGGTGCACTTGCCTGCATGCAGGCAATACATGCATACACATAAAATAAAAATAATAAAATATTAAAAAAAAAATAAAATTAAATTTAAAAAAGAAAAGGAACTACTTATAATTAAGGGTAGCAAATTTTCTACTTTGTTTCTTACCTCAGGTGCATTTTAATGGCATATTAGGAGAAAGTAAGCTCTCCACTAAGGTGCTTGCTTACTGGTCTTACTGCTACTTACAGTTAAACTCCGAAGTGACAATTGCTAATAACAACACTGCAGCCCTTTAATTATGAGGCATAGTTGACAATTCAAGCATAATGTGTTATTGTGATTAATGGGCTACGTAAAATGTTGTAGTGGTGCCTGTAATGAGTGCAGAATCAATTTAGTGCTCTGTTGCTTTTCTAGTGTTCCTATTCAGTCTCAATACCATAGTCTCATGTCTCATGTTTTTAAGAAAGTTCTCCAGTGCATTTTTGTCCTTCACGAGGGAGAATATAAAATGTGAATTCTGCCCATTTGTGTTAGGATTGTTAGGACCTCTTGCTAGGTAGCAAGGACGATTAAAGAAGCAGTAAATCCAAGTAGGGCTGGAAGATACATTGGTGAATATAAGGAGAGAAAGGGAGGCTGGGTATGGAGGCGTATACCTGTAATCCGAGCACTGAGGGGCAGGGGGCAGAGGCAGCTGGATCACAGTGAGTTTGAGGCCAGCCTGGGGTGTACATAGTGGAACCTTGTTTGTGGGGGTGAGGGAAAGCCAGGTGTTGTGGCTTATGCCTATAATCTTAGAACTTGGGAGGCAGAAGCAGGAGTTCAAGGCCAGGCCTGAATAACATGAGACTGCTAAAGAAAGAAGAAAAAAAAAGTGATCATTGAACTAGCCTTGTTAAATAGGCTATGTATAATTTAGGCAGAGGCTTTGAAAATTTTGTTCCTGGCCTGGAGGAGGCTTTTGTTCCTGGGCTGGCTCAGAGGTTAAGAGTACAGCTGCTCTTGCAGAGGACCTAGGTTAGGTTCTCAGCACCCATATGGTGGCTACAAACTGTCCTTAACTCCAGTTCCAGCGGAGTCCAAAGCCCTCTTCTGACCTCCACAGCATGACATAGGTACACTCACATACACGCAGGCAATATAGTCATACACATTAAAAAAAAAAAAAGTCTTTTAAGATAGGCCTGGTGATATAACATGTTCAGTGAGAGTTCCATCTGTTTAGTTCCCAGCATTGATACATTGATACACACACAGACACACACATGCACACATTTGTTTATATGTATGTGACACTGATTGTATTTCAGTTGAGAAAATTAACCTACTTAGCAGATTTAAATTTTGGTCTTGGATAATTCTTCAGCAATGATCAGAATTGTGTCAATATGTATATGTGATATAGTTAATTCAGTTAGGCCTGGCCTGGTTACTGTTTGTAGTTCTTCTATATTAGGATGTTAGTCCCTGAGAACATAGCAGCTTAATATAAGAGGTCATTTCTTTGCAGGATTGGCCATTTGATGATGGAGCTCCACCCCCTAATCAGATAGTAGATGATTGGCTAAACCTGTTAAAAACCAAATTTCGTGAAGAGCCAGGTTGCTGTGTTGCAGTGCATTGTGTTGCAGGATTGGGGAGGTACCACTCTCTTACCTTTTTTTCTGAATTCTTCATGCCTAAGTAAACCAGCTGAAAATGTCACTTTGGTAGAATTTGCATATATTATACTAAATAATAATTCAATTACTGGAAAGGAAATGAGAGCAAATGCTAGTGTCATGAGTTCTTAGAACAGCCATTTGTGTTTCATTGGTTGTCTGATTTTGATGCCATACCACATCTAATGAGGATTCTCGCCTCCATTTCAAGAAATCAGATTTAGGACATTTAAATGGGCAATAAATTAGAATCATTTTAGAGACTGAAGTATCTACATAGTTTGGATTGAGATGAAAGGGAGTTAAATATAAGATATTTAAACTCTTAAAAGGAGATGTATAGACAAAACTGACTTTTATTTTAAAACCTTTTTCTCTGAGGCCGGAGAAAATGCTCAGAAGAGCTCTGGCTGGTTTTGCAGATGATCGGGGTTCAGTTCCTGGCACCCACTTGGTGGCTCACAACCAACTGTCTGCAATGCCAGTTCTAAGGGCTCAGATGTCCTCTTCTAACCTCTGTGGGCATTGCACAACATGGTTGCACCAACATATGTGCATGCAAAACACTCACATACATTAAATAAAGAAATATATAAATAAATAATTAAAAAATAAAAACCTTTTCTCTGAGCTTTGCTTGGGATAGTGTTGCATTTTTATCAATAGCAGATTAAGTGGCAGTTTGTAATATGCACTGTGACTCAAGAGTGTGACTTGCCATTGCCTCAAGCTGATTGGTGACTCAGCCTGTTAAAAATTAGAAAAGCTGGGTAGGGTGGCACATGCCTGTAATCCCAGCAGTTGGGAGACAGACAGAAGGATTGCCCATGTGTTTGAGGCCAACCTGGTCTCATATTGTGAGACCTTGTCTCAAAAGAAAACATAAGATATATTACCAAATTAAGGGGGGGGCGGAGCTCAAGTTCTGCTTCATTTCTGTAATGTGTAAACTCTCAATTTTAAAAGAAATTCTTAGATTCCAAGACTTAAGGATATTTACACATGGTTTTCTCTCTCTTCAGAGCACCTGTACTAGTTGCACTTGCTTTGATTGAATGTGGAATGAAGTATGAAGATGCAGTTCAGTTTATAAGACAGTGAGTATGAAGATTGATGTTTAAAAACCCCAAATGAGATTGAACACGAGGAAGAAACTATGGAAAGTATCCATTTGTAATATGGGATAACTTTGGTTTGGGCTTAAAATGGATAACATCTCACTGATGTAGTACTTCTCCTAATGGATTTCAGAACACCATCCAGTGTAGCTTTATGTGACCAACAGGGAAAAAGCACCTATAGAAGAACATGTTAATCACTGGGGACTCTTGAAGTGGCCTCTTTTGACACAAATCATGATGGAATATCCAGGCAGAGCCTTGTTCTTTCTTTTTAAAAAAATAAAGATTAGCCAGGTATGGTGGTGCATGCCTTTAATCCCAGCACTTGGGAGGCAGAGGCAGGTGGATCTTGGTGAGTTTGAGGCCAGCCTGGTCTGCATACAAGTTCCAGGCCAGCTGGGGCTACTTGGAGACCCTGACTCAAAAAAAAAAGAAGAAGAAGAAGCTGGGCGTGGTGGCTTACACCTTTAATCCCAGCACTCAGGAGGCAGAGGCAGGGGGATCTCTGTGAGTTCCAGGCTACCCTGGTCTACATAGCAAGTTCTAAGTTCTAGGCCAGCTGGGGCTAGAGGGAGACCCTATCTCAAAAAAAAAAAAAAAAAAAAAAAAAGAATGACAAGGCTTGCATGCTTATCTCTGAGCCATCAGCATCTCACTGCATGGCTTCTGTGTGTGTCTTGAACCTGCTCCTTCATCTTAGTATGTTTTAGTTTTAGGCTTTTTTTTTTTTTTCAAAGCAACCTAAATATTTGCCCCTCATTCTAATCTGAAGAATATATTAATCTAATTGGGAGGAGTGTAGTCAGATGTGTCTAGATACCATTCTGATCTCTAAACAGACTATAATGACCGGCAAAGACAAATTTTCTACTCTTTTTAGGGGGCTTGGAAAGTTCATGTTCCAACTTTTAACGGTGATGGGGTATGGGAAGGCTGGTTTCTATCAGGAAGTTTGTTAGCAAGATGTTAGGTCATAAGTAATGTATTTCAGTAAGTCATGTAGCTCCTTTTTACATGATAATTTGCCATTCTTGTATTTTCAGAAAAAGAAGGGGAGCATTCAATTCCAAACAGCTGCTTTACTTGGAGAAATACCGACCTAAGATGCGATTACGCTTCAGAGATACCAATGGGCATTGCTGTGTTCAATAGAAATAAGCGAAGGCTTACTCGATTGTGGCATTTAGAGGGAACTCTTGGTACCTGGAAATGTGAATCTGGAATCTGACCTGTGTCATCTAAGTAGTGATGGATTCAGTACTCCTCAACTCCTAATGATTGGGAAAAACACAAATGATAAAGCCCCTTTATAACATGAATAAAATGTTTAAGAAAAGAAAAAGGAAAGGAAAAAGGGATTAATTTAGTGAAAGATGATTTTGCTCCTAGTTTGGGAGTTTTAATTTCTTCCAGATTGATTATTTTAAAACCTCTTGTCTTTTTTCTTTTTAAAACTTTTTTCAAAATAGGTCTTTAAGGAAAACCAGCAGAATATTAATCAGCGTGGAGCCAATTGTTGGGGAGCACATGCTTCCATTATGCTTGGCACATAGGTCTCCTTGTGGTGGGATTTGGGGGAGGTGTTTTCCCCATCTTCTCTCCTTCTGCCCCCCCCCATACACATTGTAGATGGACTAGAAAGAAGCCCTTATTGCTCTCTGTGTGCGTGTGCGTTGTGTGTGTGTGTGTGTGTGTCTGGCAGCCTTAAGCCCACCTGGGCACTTTTAGAGAAAAAAAAAAAAAAAAAAACAGTGGCGCATATATGATATGATCTGGGTGGTTTTAGTCTTTATTGATGATGGGTGTTCATGGTAGGTTCTTTTCCTCAAAGCCCTGATCTAGCTTTAGGACATTAGAGCAGCCAGGAGCCTGTTGTTGGCAGTTGTGAGGAAATGCATGTAAAGAGGAGGCTGTCTCCTCAACAACCGAGAGTAGAAGTCTTCTTTCCCAGTCACTGAAGCCAGTGAGCAGCCTAGAAGAGGATCTTTCTCCAGGCCATCTTAAAGTTGTGTCCAGGCAGAGAATTAGCATGCTTTCTACAAACTAGAGCTCTAGACTGTAGCACTGCTCTGATTTTCTGCCTAATGATGTCATAGAAAGTTGATATCTTAAAGTCTGAGAACTTATTTGTACTCTGAATTTTCAGAAACAAAGCAACAGCAAATTCATCCACAGTATTTTGGTTTTGAGAATTGCCTGTGGTGGTTATTTTCCAAATTACTCTCTGTATGTACAGTTCAGTGGTTACACTGAACTGTTATTACTAGGTTCTTTTGAGATTAAGAAGAAAAGAAAGAAAAATCATTGTCAGAACCAGTAGTAGTGAGTGTGTGTCTACAGGCTGTAACAGGGTAGAAGGGAGACATCAAACAACCCAATGAGTAACAAAACAGACTATGTTGCTTATGACATTTTGTAAATTCTCTGCTGGGCTCAGTGTGCTGATCTAGAAAAGCTGGTTATCTTCTTTCTTTGGAAGGCAGTTAGGACCAGGCTGCATTGACAAAGCAAGTGGAGGGGTATCACCAGGGGCTCTGGTTCTCTTCACCTAAATATTATATACTTAATACCCAGACTCTGAGCACAGGCCTGGCATCATCTTTGTCCACTGAAATTTGCTGTGCAGAGCCATATGCTTCCCGATTTGTTAGTATCAGCTTGGTCAGTAGGAATGGACTGGGACTTGGTCTTATACTGATGATACCTCAGACTTTGGTTAGCTATGTGAATTGCCTATTGCCTATTTCCTATTGCTGGAGTTGTTTTGATTTTTAACTAAAGACAAATTTGTAAAGTGTCTCCTCCCTCATTCCGGAAAATAAGAAATAATGCTTTTTGACATTGTTTCTAGAATTTTAAAGTAAAAAATGATGGTACTATCAAATTTTCTTTTTTCAGCACATGACAGTAGATTCCTTTAACATAGACTCAGGATCAAAACATTTCACCCTCTTAAGTTCAGATTGATTAAATTAGTACCAACAAAAACCTTTTCCATTTGACATGCTCTGAATTTTGGTGCATGCACATGCTCACGTGTGAGGGTATATGCATACTTTGTTCAGCAGTATCAGTGCCTGCTTGAGTTAGAATTACATTTCCTGGCTCTGTGTGAGGAGAAGGGTATATAAAGTAACATGAAACAGCCCTCATTTTGTTTTAAATAAGACTAATGTTAATTGTTCTCAGAACTGGACTTTTTTTTTTCTCAAAATTAAAAAAAAATTTCTTTTAGATTTAATGAAGTATTGCTAGCTGAAGCCAGTTTTGACATGGTGAGAGAGATGTCAGACTGAAAGGTGTGCAGCCTGATTTAAAACCAAGCCCTGAACCCTTTTAAAGAACAATAAAACATATTTTACATGCTCTTTGTGCGGTTGTTTTTCCTCTACTCCTGAACTGTTCTTCATCTATATCTGCTCCCCTTTCTCTACTTGATATTCTTAGGACCTGATTTGTGTCCTGATAATTTACTGCAGGAGGTGAAATGGTTAGAAGTGCTCAGTATGGACATAATTTAAAAAAAGTACTTTGTTTTTATGTGTATGCGTGTATTACCTGCATGTAGATAAGTGCACCCATGTCATGTAATGCCCGAGGAGGACAAAAGAGGCTGTCGGAGTTAGGGACAGTTGTTAGCTGCCACGTGGTGCTGGGATTTGAACCCAGGTGTTATGCAAGAACAGCCATTGTTCTTAACTGCTGAGCCATCTTTCCAGCCCCTAGTATGGACATACTTGACCATAGTTCAAATACAATTAGTCTGTTTTCTGGTTTCATTCTTGGGCACAGCATTGTAGGAATTGAGCATCATGGGTTTTGGTAGAGCCTAAATAAAAACTGCTATGCTTTAAAAGGAAAGTGGGGAATTAGCTACTTTATGTGTCATAGGGTTTGTGGGTGGGAGATTTCTCTTTAATCACTGGTGTACATCTATCCAGACATTTCTGTCTAAGGTACAAAGAATTAAATGGTAAAATACTGATTGCATTTTGGAGGACCTACATCTAAATGAAATCAGATAGGTAAAGTTCTAGTGGGTACATGCCAGGAAATGCCTGTAATCTCAGCATTCTAGGTGAGAGATGGGAGGATGGTGAGTTCAAGGCCTGCCTAAGCTGTATGCAAGGCCCTGTCTCAGTAAACAAAGCTAGAGGGGACGGCTCTAGTACTTAGAATTCATTGATCCCATTGTGCCCTTCACCAAGCTTAGATTCTGATTCACTGTGATAATTAGACTGTACAGGAAATTGCCTTGCCTTTACCTTGGCTTTTTGAGACAGGGTCTCACTATGTAGCACTGATTTGGCCTGGAGCTATATAGACCAGGCTAGCCTGTAACTCAGATCTGCCTGCCTCTCCTCTGCCTTCCTTGTTTGAAAGGTTCAGATTTAAATTCCTTCTCTGTCCATTTCATTAGCTTTTCTTTCTAGATCATTTCTACCACCCTACAAACATACACTTTCTTACATACTGAAAATATATATGAGAGGCAGGTTAGATGGCTCAGCAAGTCAAGGGCACCGGCCATCAAGCCTGAAGACCTGAGTTTGGTGCCAGAGGCTTCACACATGTGCTATGGCACATAGGCACACAAATTTATGAAAATGTAGAGACTTGTTTGATGCCACACCTGCCCTCTTATTACTGTTCTGCTCTGTCCCCCACCCCTCTTGGGAATAGGGCCACAAGCATGCTAGGCAGACTACCACTAAGCTACTTCTGAAGCCTTTTGTTTTGGTCTTTTTTGAGACAGGGTCTCCCTGTAGCCCTAGTTGGCCTGGAACTCACATCCACCTGCCTTTGCCTCTGGAGTGTTGGGATTAAAGGCATGAGCCACCACTCCTGCTGCAACCTTCCTCTTATAGTAAAAACCCTGTATCCTCTGCTTCCCTTTGAGCTCACTGGTGAGGATTGATTTTTCCTCATTTTGTTTTGTCCCTCCAAGACAGTCTGCCTGTAACCTCAGCTCAAGTGGGAACTCTCTGTAGGCCAGAGTGGTCTGTCTCAGAGATCCACCAGTCTTCTGAGTTGAGTCCTGGGATTAAAGTCTTGCACCACTGTACCCAGCTTGTGTGTGTGGTATTTTGGTTCTGTTTATGAATGTTTTACCTGTATGAATGTAAGTTCACTTGTGCTTATGATGCCCATGGAGGTCAGATAAGAGTGTCAGATGCCCTGGAACTGGAGTTAAAAATGGTTGTTAGCGTGGGGCCTGGTGGTGTATGCCTTTAATCCCGGCACTTGGGAGATGGGTGGACCTCTTCTGAGTTCAAGGCCAGCTTGGTCTACATAGAGTTCCAGGCCAGCTGGGGCTACAGGGAGACTGTCTCAAAAGTGGTTAGCTGCTGTATGGGTGCTGGGATCCGAACCTGGATCCTCTTACAAGAGTAGTGAGTGCTCTTGTGCTGGAGAGATGGCTCAGCGGTTAAGAACACTGTTTTTGTGGAAGACCCGGGTTCAAATCCCAGCACCCACGTGGCAGTTAACAACTGTAACCCAGTTCCAGGAGATCTGACAGCTTCTGTCCTCCACAGGCATTGCATGACACGAGTGCACTTACCTACATGCAGGCATAACTCAAAACACATAACAAAAATAATAAATATTTTTTTAAAAAGTAGTGTTCTTAACCACTGAGCCATCATTCCAGCCTCTTGTCTTTTTCAAGACTGTGTCACTCTGGCCCTTGCCAGCCTTTAATAATGTAGACCAGGCTGGCCTCACCTTGGAGTGATTTACCCCTGTGTTGTGAGTGTTGGGATTCAGGTATGTACCACCATCCCCAGCTTCCAGTGAGGATTTAAAAAAAAAAAATTTCACGTGTATGCCTGTATTGCCTGCATGTAAGTTGTGCACCTGTGTCGTGCAATGCCCACGGAGGTCAGAAGAGGGTGTCGGATCCCCTGGGACTGGAGTTATGAACAATTGTTAGCTGCCATGTGGATGCTGGGATTCAAACCCGGGTCTTCTGCAAGAACAACCAGTGTTCTTAACAGCTGAGCCATCTCTCCAGCCCCGAGGATTCTTTTTTAAGATTTATGCATATGATGAGTGTTTTGCCTACATGTATGTAGCTGCACCATGTGTCCAGTGCCTACAGAGATCAGAAGAGGGCGTTGGATCCCTGGAGCTGGAATTGTAAATTGGTGTGAGCCATCATGGGTACTGGGAACCAAACCCAGGTCCTTTTTGAAGAGCAGCAACTGGTTTTGCTGTTAACTGCCACATCATCTCTCCAGCCCCTTCGATTGGGAATTTGATTTCACAGGAATTACCCATATTAAGGAGTACCGGAACCTCTGGTACCAATCCAGTGTCAGGCCTTCTGCAGCTTTTGGCATATTAACTTGTCAGAATCGATCACTTTGAAATTACTCACTGTTGCATGATAATGGTCCCTCAAAGGTATGCACATCCCAAAATTGCTAGGACCTGTGACATGGTCAGGGGGACTTAGTGGATGTGATTAGAGGTCTTGAAATAGGAATCTCCTGGATGATCTGGGAGAGCCTGATCTAATTGCATGAGTTCTTCAGAGCAGAGAATCTGTTGGCTAAAGTCAGCAAGATACAGTGTTGCTGACTGCAGATGGGTGAAGGGACCATGAGTTGGCAGTAATAATCTGGAACCTACAAACGGCAAGGGATGATTGACCCTGGATTCTCCAAAGATTGTCCCCTAGAGTCTCCTACAATACCTTGGTTTTAGCCCCACATGGTCTTTGACAGAACTATATGATAGTTTGTTTTGAAAAAGTTTCACCTTGTAGCTCAGGTTGGCCTCAAACTCATCTGCCCTGTGGATAGTACTGGGTTTATAGGTATGTGCCACTACATTTGACTTTAAACCTAAAAAAGCTTTTTAATTAAAAAAAATTTAAGTACATTTATGTGTGCGCACTCATGGAGGTCAGAGGACAATTTGTAGGAATCTATTCTTTCCTTCCACCATGTTGGTTCCAGGGACTGAACTCAAGTTACCAGGCTTGGTGGCAAGCACTTATACCTGCTAAGCCATCTCATTAGTTCTTTTTTCTAATCATATAGCTCAGGTTGTCTTCTGCTTCCAGAGTGTTGGGATTAAAGGTTTATACCACCACACCAACTGGGAGTCTGGTTTTTTTTGTTGTTGTTGTTGGTTTGTTTTGAGACGTGGTCTTCCTGTGAGACAGGGTTCCCCTGCAGCCCCAGGGGACCTGGAACTCACTGTGTAGACCAGGCTGGCTTTGAGCTCAGAGAGATCTGCCTGCCTCTGGGGAGTCAGTTTCTTAATAACCAAGACCCTGGGTTTGGTGGCATATACCAGTAATCCCAGCAGACAGAAGGCTGAGCAGGAGGATCTTGAGTTCAAGGCCATCTTGGGCTACATTGTGAGAGCCCATCTCAAAACTCAAAAGAGCCATGATTCAGAGGAATAAACAGCCTAAGTGTGGTGACTAGAACTATAAATAGGAAGAATGAGGATGTAAGTATTTGAGGGCCTGCCACATACTGTCCACTGTCCTAGGTACTATGGATACACTGAGGAACATTATGGGTCAACAGACGGAGAAGACAATAAATAGATGTTTCCACGTGATCACTGCTGTGAGAACATAAGAAAAACTAGGGAAGAGGGTAGTGATTGGTGACCCACGTGGAGTTAGATGGGACTGCTAGGGAACATCTTTGAGGAAGACAACAGAGCCTGCTACAATGATGTGCATGTGAAGATGGTGCCAAGATTTTCCAAGTGGCATGTACTGGAAATACTGTGCTTGGTGTGTTTCGCACAGCAGTGCAGATGTTGGAATAGTGAATGAAGGGCCAAACTTGGGCAGAGGCTCCATTTTACTGATACAGTGACACAAGGGTGGTGGTTTGTGATTACATTGCAGTGTCAACGTATCACAGTGAATTTGCAAAGTATTGTTTCTCTGGAGGAATCATTAGGTTCAACCCTGTGGTTTGTTGTTTTTTTTAAGTTACAGTTTTTATTTATATTTGGTCTTTGAGACAGTGTCTCCCTGAGGCCCCAGCTGGCCCGGAACTTACTACATAGACCAGGCTGGCCTTGAACTCTACAGAGATCTGCCTGCTTCTGCCCCCCAAATGCTGGGATTGAAGGTATGAACCACCATGCCCAGCTATTTTTATTTTATGTGTATGAGTGTATTGCCTGCATGTGTATAAGTGTACCTATGTCCTGCAATGCTCACAGAGGTCATAAGAGGGAGTCGAATTCCCCTGGAAGTGGAGTTACAGATGGTTTTTAGCTGCCATTTGAGTTCTGGGAATTGCACCTGGGCCCTCTGCAAGAGCAGCCAGTGCTCTTAACCACTGAGCCATCTCTCCAGCACCTTGTATTAGTTTTTTAAAGACATGTT